GCTAATTTCTGGGTTATTCTCTTCGAATTTTTGATAAACTGGTGTAGAAACTGGTACTGGAATGGGGATATCCTCCATATTTAGTTCCTCTACATATTTTGCATATAGCTGATGTGGATTTCTTTCTGGATGAACTTTAACCAAATGTAATGCTCCTAAGACACACCATCCAAAACACCAGTCATCATCATTTTGAATATTTATTATACCATTATTACGTTTTGGTATTGTTTCTGGGTAAAGGCATACAGCCTGTTGGACCAATTGGATTGTAATCAGCTATCTCAATACTAAATTCTTTGATATATTCTGGATAAGCATCTGACATTTTATATAGTTTGCTAAGTCTAACCAAACGTTTATATTTACTTATACAAAATCTTTTCTTTAAATAATTATTTTATATCTTTATTCAAAAATGATTGGTGAGTATTTGTGCCCCTACATTCTTAATTCCAGAGAAATCTGCGCTAGACCTTGCATTCGACCTGAGGGATGTAGATTTCATTGGAAATCAAAAAATCGTGTCCCTTGTAGTGAATGTGGTAAGCCAACTGGTTCGTCTTCTGAACGTTGCCCTTTGCATATTAGAGGGTACTATGTGGCTCAATATTATAATAAACTTCGATCAAATATACGAGAAAGAACTTATGAGGAAATAATGGATGCCCATAGAGACATGCTTGCAATTCTTAATATTACTCTCTGTAGGAAATGCTTCCATCTGATAAAATTGGAAGATGGAGAATATTGTAATAGTTGCCAGCCTGAATAGGTATAGCAAATAAATATTTCAGCTAACTCTTGCTCTATACCTAAATTTTTACCAGAATTTTCGTTATGTTTATTTTTTGTTATTAGATTTAATTTTTATATCGGAACTTAATCTAAAGTACATATAAGGCGGAGATAACACATTGATTTTTATTGTTCTAGAAGCTCTAGCTAAAAAGGATTTTTAACGTTGAAATTGCTTTAGAAAGAATTCCTGATATATTTTTTAATTTCGTTAGACTTAAAATCGTTAGACTTAGCTTGTATATGAAAATTACGTTTTATAAAAATTTAATAAACATCTAGCACTATAATATTTTTCTGTCCTAATTTTCCATCGATTTACTAAATTTTCGGTTAGATTTTGGTTAGATTTAGTGAGTGATATGCATTTTAGCTTGCTAAAGTCTATAGAAACGTATATACAACTATATAATTTAACATAATTTTATTACTTTTTATTGGCAAGCAAAGTAGCATAAAATTTCGGTTAGACTTTTTGGTTAGATTTAATAATTACTATGCGTTTTAGCTTGCAAAAGAAATATAAAAACTATAAAACGAATATATTAATCAACTTAATTTCATTAGATTTCAATGGCAAGCAGGATAGCATAAAGAAAAATCTAACGAAAATGTGCCGAAAATGACGCGTAAAAAACAAAATGCACGTCACTCAAATAACGAGGCAAATGCAAAACGCACGTCATAGCAAAACGGTTATGGATTTAAGGCTCTAGAGAGCTATACGCACTAATATCACTATTGATTTTTGTCTCAAAACCCCAATTTGACATTGTGTCCATTCATGACTTACCGTTATATAAACCAATAAACCGAATAATGTTGGGATGGTTGTTTACAGCATCATGATGTTTCAGCTAATACATGTTTATACCAAAAATTAGTCTATGCACAATATTAATATGGATGTAACGAGCATAAAGTAAAGGCTAGTAATTAATAGCAACCTCTTTGAAGAAATGCCGACGCCACTTTTCTTCACGAGCACTGTTGTCATTAGGACGCAATACTTCACCGCAACAGGAATGCCAGAGATAGGAATGTTTTGTTTCTTACCCAAAATCTCTTTGACTACGTTTCCAAAACGACTTTCCTCTTTTATTGTTGCTTTATAAACCACTCCGCATGAGCCATGGCCAATATGTATAGAGTCTAATTTGATATCACTTTCTGTACAACATTGAATGCAACCTTCTTGGATGCTCTTGTCAAACCATTCTTTGTATGAATCCTTCGTCATTTGAACTGTTAGATGATAACAAGAGAGTAGTGATTATATGTCGCTCACTGCAACGTTGTGTGGCTTATACAAGGGTAGTTCGGAGGAGACAGTGAGAATAAGTGTGATAATAATAAATAGAGTCAATTATTCTTTAATATGGTTGAGGCCGGGTAAGTTAGCCGCACTCTGTGAAGAATAAATATAGTGCTTAGTACTGCAAGCTAATGTACCCTCTTGTTTAACAGCGTACTGTACAACATGAGCGAATGCCTTAATTCGTCCCCCCCTTAATTCGGATTTTCGGTAATCCGGACACTTATTCAAATTTCCTTCCTTTAATTCGGACGCTTAATAAAATTCAGCCGGAAAGAGTTTGATGGATCGTTACAAAACAATACCCGGTAAAAAATGCCCACAATTCTATACTAATACACATTTCACTGCTGCACGAAAGCAGGAAATATGTAAACGTCAAAGAGACAACTCATATATCTTAACTTGGCAAAGACTATGAAAGATATTATTGCTCAATCAGAAAAATGGTTAGCTATTGACATTAACAAAACTTCTACGCAACGCTTGAAAAATAAACTTCCGAAATGGCCAGAATTAGAACAAGCATTATGACTATGGACGACAACAATAATCGAAACAATCTTCCACTACTCGTGTCTATGCAAAGCGTTTAGGAATAACGAATTTGTAGGCGTAAATGGGTGGTTGTCCAATTAGTTGAGTTTTATATTATCGTAAATTACAGTATAAACAGTTATCTTAATATTTTCATAAAGGTGTCCCCGGGGTGTAAGTTAAAGACCCTTTTCATAATTTGCGGTTAATTTTTGTCACACAGTGAATCGATGATTCGATAATTCGGACGATTACCTCGGAAAGTTGATGTCCGAATTAAAACGGTGCAAAACGGACATTATCCGATTAAGAATTTGATGGCAATCTTACAACCTCGGATTTAATAAATGCGATCTAAGAGGAATGGGAGTTTTAAGTTTAATCTATGACCCTTTTATTGCACCGGGAGTCTTCCATACTTGCAAATTTACAATCCGGACATTTATGTCAACTTTATCAGAAAGGTGGACAAGGGCAATTCTGACAGCAACATATGGAATACCGTTTAGTGATGATGTAAGACCTTGAGAAAGAGGATAAATTTTTTAGTACGCTCTTACTTGCTGGGATTTATCCAAACCGAGAAACAGGACAATTCCGTTGCCGTGAAGTAATTTACGCATTAACATTGTTGATACTTTCGCGACGGACGATATTGAATAAATTGCCCCTCTTCCAATAACCTTTACTAAAAATAACAATTTGATAATTTGACTTGTTATTCACCTTTAATTATGCGTTTTGACAACACATGTACGAGTTTAGATTGCCTCGGTAGACTGACTTCTCGTAATCGCATATTAATCTTTCAAGCGTTATTGCTCCATTCGATAATGCGAATCGCCTTATTCTTAGGCTATTTATTTACTTTTCAAATACGCTAACAAACTAATTTTTTCCTATTTACGCAAGGGCTTGTTTATGCGTGTTTGTGGCAGACAATTATCTTATTATTACTACTTATCTTTTGAGTAAGCTCTTCTTCGTAGATATAGCAAACCGTTTCTTGACGTGGATGAACTAACCTTCATTCATAACGTATATGCTCTTTGTAAAGCATGAAAGACCTATGTGACAAAGTACAGTAGTTTGGCGGCGCAATGCTCAATACGATAGTTCGATTTAAATAGAACCGTAGTCTCTTAATGTTATTCCGGATAGATTGCACTGACATACACGACACGTAACATTATCGTTCCCAATTACACTCGAGTCGTTCAAGTAGCGGGGTCTTGAAAAAAAAAGCTTGAGTTGATAGCATTTGGACTAAACTTCGAACAAGTATAGATTCCACAGAGTTGTATGAATGAAGTGAGCAATAAGTGTCTACTGTACTTACAACAGATTTCATTTCCTATGGCCCTATCTACAGTGATAACCCCATGCCAATTTCTCTTCGGAATATTTTTGGTGCATATGCCTGTGCATATAATGAAACAATCACTTGCATAATCAATGTCTAACTGTGATATCGTCCTCGCTGGCGCATTCTGATTGATCGCAGTTTGTATACGTGGACAAACGTTCTTTCGATCAATCGGAATATGCCAAATATTTTCATGTCATTTAAGATGCCTGAAATATAAAATGTAATTACTTGGCATCGTCATATTTACATCTATCTCATCTCTAATGAGATCATTGTCCTCACTACTGCGCGATTACATACGTTGTCACGAACGTCTCTCGGTCAATCAAAATTTGACAAATGTCTCTTAACTGGCATGTTACATATGAATGTTGTACAAGGTCGTTTGTTTAGACTCATTTGTAACAACGAAATGAATTTGCTAAACATGTGACCGTCTGTAAGCACCCCAACATTACCCAGAAAGGGAATCTGTGCACATATTGAACGACAATCACCAAGAAATGTTGAGATATTCTACCTTTATCAATCTAACAAGCGAGCCTGTGTTTCACATCCTGCAGAATGACCAAATTCCTCATCTGTAATTCCAGAGACGGAATATTGCTTTGTCATAAGCATTTACGTGACAGTAAATAATTCGAAGCTGCCTAGTATCTTGTTGTACTTGTTTCACACACACATACCTGACTATGGGCGTTTTATTATCCCACGTGAATGCACCTTATCAAACCAATGAAAAATAACCACATTTTTGCGGCTGTGAATATATAAAGAAAGTAAGTCTGGAAAAAAAAAAAGCAAAAGCAAAAGCCACACTGATAGTGTCTCAAAGGACACACTTTACGGAATAAACGATAATCACAAAAAAAGGCTTTTCTGCGCTTGCTACTACGACTTGCTTCCGCCATCAATACTGGGCTCTCCATCTACTTCGCAAAGCTGCTTTCTTAAACTAAGAGACGCATCTAAAGGGTCACCATGTTCTCGTCGTCTCAACGCTCAACCAACTCCGCGCTCCAACAGTCTACCTGGAACGGGAACGACAGCATGGTGACCTCAGTGCCTGTTGATTCTTCAGTTTCGCAAATATTAGATTCACCCGCAGCTTTTCTCTACACAAATACGGATTCCTCAAGCGAGCCTACGCAAACTTTGAATACGACTGTACGGTCACCGCTCGTTCCAATAAAGCCTCTCATATCTCCACAAAAGGCTACTACAGAACTTAGAATTCGACCTCAGACTACCGGTGAACGATCTAATGCATCACAAGACAAAGTTTTAACAATAGAAGAGCTTCGCAGCATTGAAAACCTCCATTCCGTAAACGCAACAGTTGATGCGCCGTTAGATGCCTCGAACGATTCGATACGTCCTTCCTTGAACACGGCTTTACCCTCACCAGCTGCTCCGGTACAAGCCGTGACGCCTCCACCCTCCAGGCCAAGGAGTGGTCGTAAACGGAAAGCCGAAAGTCCCGAAGAGAAAGAGGCCCGTGTCAAAGACAGGGTTCTTAGGAATCGGGCCGCAGCACAGTTGTCTCGTAACAAGAAGCGACAGCAGTTGGTTGATCTTGAAGAACAGAATACGATTCTGAGAAAAGAGCTTGCTGCTCAACGAGAAGAGAACGCTGCTTGTCGAGAGGAAAACGAGCGCATGTCAAAACGCATGCGAATGCTTGAAGCGAAACTCGAAGACATAGAGACAGAATTTGAAAAATTTCGGTCACAACAATTACAGTCGCGACAAAACGTACTCCCATCGCCCGAGATAATGGTATCACACCCGCCGCTTGACGATGTTCGCGGATCAGCAGTATCCGTCGTAACCTTGGAAAACAGTTCTCTTGTATCTGGTAATGGTAAGAAGGCTATAGTCAATGTCCGTACCCACTCTAACAAGTCATTACCCGGCCGTTCCTATAGATTCGAACCATCCATGCATGAGTGCTCCAAGTCCCTGCAGCGGATCGTCAAGCTGAGGAGTCTTTATCAGACGTTCTCTCAGCAGATTTCTTACAGACAGATGTTGAAGCCAATTTTGATGATTTTGTTAGTTTTCCTGACAACGCTGAACGTTGGACAGAAGAACTATTATTATCAATGCTTGGACAAGATTAAAAGGATGGAATTTGCTGACAACGTCGTTATCTCGGAACTCATGCGCCGCTTGCAAAAGCGTCGATTGAGATCGGTAAGGGGTAAACTCAGTCGCGGGGCCAAATCCGGTGAATACGAATGGAGTAAATACCCTCCCTAACATTGTAGAAAATTGTGCACTATTAATACTAATTATATATACATACATATCATATATCACGTTTAATTTTCAAGACATTGTGAATTTTTTTATTACAACCTTTTTCTTGTATGTTTTTTTTGTTATTTGTTCCCTATTTCGCTTTTTTTTATTACAATAATAATAATAAAGTGGACATATTACAAACTACATGGTGTGTGTGTATTAAATTGTTGTTTCGGGCTCGGCCGATGTGAGTAGACTCATTCGATTACGTCGATATCAAACGCCAATACTTTCACCATCGTCACGATTTGAATGGTCTTTAGTTATTAGGCAATACCGTTTATTGAACGAGAGCAATGACATGGAGCAATCGCTTTGTTTCCTGACACACGTATAAACATTAATAATTATTAGACAAATACTTAGCTAATAACACACGCATTACATCGATTGTATTAAATGAAAATAGATCATTTTTAAAATTCGCAATATTATACAGAGAAACATCTAAAAATGTCTAGATAAAAACAAATTAATTTCCCCCCCAATTATTGGTTATGTATCCGAAAACTTATTCAGCGTCTGCTCCATCTTTTCCGATAATCTTCAAGAAAACTTCCTCTAGACTGGGATTCAAAAGAAAATGGAACGAGCAGTTAGGTTATGTTTATATTCGGGGAAAAAAAAGACTCGTGTGTGAAACTTACGTTGTCTGACTCAAACCCCAATCATCCACACCATAATATTTTTTTTCGCTTTCAATCCGTTTGAATAGTCGAGAAATCAACCCTGGTTCTGGTGAGAATTCATAAGTTACATTTGTGGTATATGACGGAAGCCTTCTTGCTGTTGGTGGAAGCAATGACTCGATGAAGCTAAGAAAAGAGTATCACAAGTTAAAACTAAATCTATATACATGGAATAGCGTAACATAACAATATTCAACGTACCCAATAGCTGTCTCCATGTTTGCTGTTCGACCCGAAAAGCTCAATTTAAAACCTCGGCCATACTTTTCCTTTAGTCTTAATTGCGGTCCAATACATCTTAACGTTCCCTGGGTCATGATGCTGACCCTTTGACAGAGAACTTCTGCCTCTTCCATCGAATGCGTGGTCAGCATGATCGTTCGTCCAGTCTTTGCCTCGCTGATGATATTCCAGATCAAACGTCTAACTTCCGGATCAAGTCCGGTGGTGGGTTCATCCAAAAAGACAACAGTTGGATCCCCGACTAATGCTATCGCTATAGACAGACGACGTTTTTCACCGCCGCTAAGACCGCGAGTAAGCCGATCTTTGAATGGTACTAGACGCACGCGTTCTAATAACTCTAGCACCTTTGCATGTTCCTGACTCGATGGCACGCCTTTGAGACGAGCGTAGAACAGCAAGTGCTCGCACACTGTCAAATCATCCCAAAGAATATCATGTTGAGGACATATTCCTATGCTCATGTAGACTTGGTCCCTTTGGGTCTTGACATCAAAGCCATTGAGAATTGCGTCGCCTTTTGTTGCTGGATAGAGACCTGTCAAAATACTGAGAAGCGTTGTTTTGCCTATAATAGATATCGATATCAAGTAAATAAACACGTAAAGCACACATACACACACACACTCCCCCCCTCTCTCTCTCTCTCTTCTTCCCCATTATACGCACCAGCACCATTAGGACCCAACAATCCAAAAACCATGTTCGATTCGACTGCGAATGTTACGTCCTTGACGGCCAACTTTCCGTTCGGGTATTCTTTGCGTATTCTCTTTAGAACCAATGGAGAATCCAATAGAAACTGGTTCTCTAAAACTCTACGTCGCTCTTCTCGGACGTCATCGTCTTCCGACCTAACATCCTCGGGGTCAATACGCCATAAACCGCTCTCCAGGAAACTTTGGCGCCTGTCCGCTTTTGTCTCGCTTGTTCCAGACATCTTTTTGAATAACGTACTGAATACAAAATGCCATGGTTTTCCTTCATCATAGTCAGAGGGAAGCACTTGAGACAAGTACCACGTAACTAGCAATAACACAAAGTATCCTGCAATCATTGCTACCGTAGCCATAAATAATTGGTCACCCGGCCTGATCCTTGCCATAGTATATCCATCGCCTGACGGATCAAAGCTTGCCTCGTTGACAATGCTGAGAGCGCGGTAAAATGCAAAAGGAGGCCACGTCAAGTAAGCGATATTTGCCGTAGTGAAAATTGCCTCGGATGCCAGGTTAATTACTACACCGCTAATAACAGTAACGCATGACACAACTAGAGCAGTACGGGTGTTGTTGAATATTACGGAAAAAAGAAAAGCCAGGATTATCTGCATGTGTCCCCAGATCATGAAAAGGAGACAGAGAACGTACGGCGAGGTTCGGGAAAAGAATTCCATTTTGAAAGCCATTCCGCTTGCCACAAAGAATACGGAATTTATGGTATGCAAAATGTAAAAATGGATATAGTGCGTCATATAGTAAGCGTAATCCTTGAGCCCGTTCATACGCATCATAACTAAAATTCTGTTTTCCTTTTCCTTGACTAGTGTAATCACAAATGCCGGCAGCAGGAAAGAAACACCAAATGGATAGAGAACGCGACCTAAAAGTGCGCTGGCTCCAACATTCATCTCTGACACCCATAGATACGGCATTACCCGAAACCCGGCCGTTATAATTGCATTCACGTTAGTGGATAGAAGAAACGCGGTGCTCAATTGAGATTGTTGGATCACTCTCCGTAAGCCATAGCCTAAAAACGGAAGCCTCTGGGCAATGCGATCATCATGGCCAATTTGCATGATATAGCTCCATACTTTTGAAGTTGGATTTAAATTATTAAAGATCAGGCCTCCCCAGGGCAAGTTTGTAGTGGCTTGAGCGAGTTTAAGGGCCAATTGCGGTTGATTATCTATTAGTGCAGCGTCTTCCTGTCCGACAAGAGGCGGTATGTTTAATTGCGCCACGCTCTGAAGCACGGAACTAATACTATCCGCGATTAAATCATCCATCTCCTTTGCATCATCATCATCATCAAGCTTTGTATAGAATGGTACTGGGACGAGAGATTCGGCTTGATAAGATGTGGGCCCTCCCAAGTTTGTTATGTTTGCAAAAAATTTTGTCGGTATTGAGCCCAGCACGCCAGAATCCCCGTCGTTTGCTTGTGAGGCGAAAGTAGTTAGAGCATTCAGCGACTGACTTTGAGACAAAATTAGTGGACTCTTCAACGGTTTATCTCCTGCATTAACGCCAAAGTCCTCAATAACAAATAGATTTTGATATGTTTGATATTTTGCTAAAGCAACCATATTCTGTGGATTGGCAAAGCTGAGCCATCCTCCTTGTGGCTCAGGTCGAAAAGTACTAGAATAATAAAGCCGGGTTGAATAAGCTCATTCACACAATTTGCAATTAATTTCACGTGTCATATACCTATCAAGCCTTAAGGAGACATTCACATTGGGATCTGTTTCATATGGATCCCGAAGAGGATAGTCTGGCCCCGTCCAGATCACGCAATCGTCTGCCGCATCTGGCACAGTGAAGAACTCAAAGTTTACTAACGGTATATAGAAATTAGCGTGTTTTACCGTGGCAAATTTTCCCGACACATTTGGAACTTCAGATGCTGGTGTTGAAGTGAGATCGTCATAGTTTTGTTCGAAACTCACGTTTCGCGGGTCCACCGATTTTACTTGGGAGCACATTAAAATTTCTAATAAAATAGTCTCTTGTTAGAAATAATTCGATATATGCAGACTTTCCCTCCCACCCGTTTTTTTATAACGCACCTACTGCCGGATTGTTTTTGAGGACTAATGCCGTCACAATCATAGCCATCAGACCCGCAATGGCGACCATTAGTATTGGACATAACGTGACGCAGAAAAAATTTACGACCCATTGTCTCTTCTGATAAACTAATGACTTGCGTAACTGTGAATATCAAAATTGTGTGAGTCGAGTTTTTGAAGTCATAAACGAATATTATTGCGTCATCTTGCGTGCAAGCTACATATCATACGACGTACCAAAGCTCGCACTGGATAGCTTTTCCTGGGCTTGGTCGATACCAAAGAATGAATCAACATGGATTTCTTATCCGAATCGATTGACGGAGTCTTGTTGTAAAACCCTAAAATAATACCAATCAGCCACTCTGCACAACCATGAGCAGAACGCACATAAACTCACTCACCTTTCCCATTAGTGTATGTTGTTAACATATGGCCAGATTTTTGGTCGTTAGGTTTTCGACCTTTGGCATCGTTCACGTTATGCACATATGAATAGATCGGGTATATGTTTGATCGCAACTCGGAGCTACTTTTAGGCTGGTACCTCGCACCATACTCATTAGGATCAGCCGATGCTCCGTAGCGAGTATCTGGTGAGGTGGGAGCTTGCATCGGAATAGCTATGCCATAATGTGGTTTCTCCTCTGTTAGAGACTTGAACCAACCAAAGATTGATCTACGAGGTTTTTCGTTCTCATTTCGAGTCATTGGCACTTCTGGAATGGGTATTTCTATGCTTGATTTCTGACCAGATAATGTATTAGCTGGATTTTCAAGATCATCAACTGCCACAGAGTCGTCCTGATACGCGGGACTCTCTTCATAAATTTCGGACAACGGTCGGCGGCGGAATGGATAAAGTTGCAGCTCTGTATTTATTGCATTGTCTTCATTTCTGGTGTGCGGTATTAAGGAATGTTCCTGGGTCGTTGGGATGGGGTTTGCGTTTATCGAGTAGTGCTGCGGAGCGTTATTCACGACGTTCGTATAGGGTTTTTTATTGTATGACACGTTCTCGGTGGGTGTCGGTGGAGTATGGGATGGCAAGGGTGGCATCTTGTAAGCAGTGCCGATTGAGTGTGGTGTTGCAACTTCATTATTGCACACGTGCTCGTCCGTATTTGCATACGATGTTTCATTGTCCACAAGCGTCGCAGAAGTGTCTCTAGAATTTGTGCTAAGTCGATTGCCAAGCTTTGACATATCGATCGACGAGTGTCCGAACCTGGATGAGCGAACATTCACGGGAACTTTCACGGCTTTTGGCACTTCCAAGTACTTGCTGCCTTGAGACGCATTGAATTTATTTTTCTCTTGAGAAATCTCTGTTAGCGGGACTAGTCGCTGATATGGTCTATTCGATTTACTTGCAGTAGCAGGCGTTCGACTATATTCGTAAGATTGTCTTGATTCGGCTGATATATGATCGCTGGAAGTAGTCACGCTATTAATGTTATTCGGCTGTTCTGTTTCGCTTACGACTGCAAGATTAACCCCCGTGTTCATGTTGTGTTTTATTCCGGATCCAGCAGAATTTGCCCACGGTTCAAAAGAGTGATGTTTACTTTGCTGCACGTAAGAAGGTTTTGCACTGAGTTTTTTTTTGTTCTTTTGATCAGGAATCTCCCTTTTCGTTTTAGTGGTTGATGGCTCGCTGAATAAATACGAGTCAATTATAGATGTAGTTGTCACTTCCGTGGCAAACTCGGCTGATTCCTCTATCCTCTCCATGAAGTCCTATGTTAATAATAATAATAACTAAAGACGACTGTTAGAGATGGACGGGAACGCCCAAAGAATAAAAAAATGGGAAATTTTCTGAGCAGAATGCAGTAAAAAAGCCATCGTCTCATGATTTTAAGCTCAATGCGTCCTAAGGATATTCAATTAAGAAGCCCCATCTCGGTAAGTGCTAATACCGTTTTGATCACCATCGGAAATTAATAACGAATAGTCAGTAGTTCCGAGAACGAATGTCGGCACATTAATTTAACTGATTAGCAGAACGCAACATATTGATTGATTAGCAGTTGACAATAGTGAATGTTAACACGTATCCCCCGAATGGCAAGCGATCAAGTTTAACGACTTCATATTGTTTTGTAGAGATAATGCCAACGTCTTCTGAAAAGGCAATCCGAAGAAATGAACGGTTGGTGAAGTATGAACACTATTACATGACTGTTACTTGAACGGATTATAAGGATCGTCATGTCAATTTGTGGTAAAGCGCAAATCTCGCAATGAAGTCTTTAAACGGATGTCACATTTAATTACACATGCCGTATGACAAAAAAGTCTTGTCGATCACCATACCCGTGATCAGATGATTAAGTTTCACGCATAATCCGCGCATTCCCGAGGGAAATTCTATAAGCGATATAATAACAATTACGCGCGGAATTGAGGTAGGGTTTGTTGTTGCTCTGCTCGTCCAATATATTCATCCTTCCGTTTTCGCTGTCGTTCTGATCACCACAAAAAATTGGTTCTTTTCGGCTCGACTAGGATTACGCGCCATCCACTCATCTGCTGTCAAAAATAATTGGATGTCGAGCATAATCTGCAAGAACAATTGGATGACTTGGAAGATAGTTGTGAGATACTGACACATGAAGAGTTTCCTGGGCATTCTATCCGATTAAAGTCAAGATCGTTGTAAGATCTGCACATTTACACATATGTGTGTGTAATTATTCTATAGTAAGCATGGGATTTTTCTCATTACTTTTACCTTTTTCAGTACAACCACCTTGTTGCTCTGGATCAACCATCCCATTCACGAATCTGCTATAGAGTTGAGCTATCTTGATACTGGCAGTAACAGACATTCTTTCTTGAGCCGAGAAACAATCGATCAGTTGTCTAATTGGTATGTTGATTATTGCCATTTTTCTTCCTGACTTTAAAAAGTTTTTCGATCAATAAAATATCTCTTCCTACCTATCACATCCAAGACTCTGAATAGCTCATCTACTTGTCTCTAACAATATACATATACACATTATCAGTTGGACGATGGCCCAGGATGCGGCGCTATGACTGGATTATTCTTTGAATTGGGTTCATGCAAGACCAAAGCTAACGGAACCGACACAACGTTTAATCCCATTCATGGATTAACAATGCGTCAGTCATATAGATCAGGTATAACAAATGCCCTCTCATGCGTTTCCATACTATGCTTAATGTTGACATTCCCAATTCAACACAGCCAATGAGCGTTAGATTTTCTTATGATACTGGAGTAAGCGATACTTGCCAAGACGTATTAGCGTTTCGGCAAACGTTTTTCAACAATATGGCCAATTAGACTTTCATATTGCTGGTGAATCGTAAGTCGGTCTACTATGCATAATAGTGACATAGACGTCATAGTATGGAACTTATATTAACATAATTCGCTTTTATCATTTAGTTATGCTGGCGAGCTATCGTATATGATATCATCATTTACAATTATGCCGGTGCCCATTCCGCCAAATACAACAGCAAGCCGAAAGCCAGTGTTTCCATCAATTTCAAGTCCGTTCCTATCGGCAATGGTCGCGTTAATCCTCCACCCTGGCAGGGCTTGCAATTCAATTCAATTCATCGTACCCTCCGGTGCTCGAAGCTACTTGCATGCACTCAAAATGTTACATATCACAGAATGCGTCTAATAGTCAACTAGCTCAAACTGACTGCGATAGCGCAATGATATATCCATATAAGCTGACTGAAACGATCCTAATACGACGTTAGGAGGAAGTGTAATGTTATCTACACTTCATTTCTACTGAATCGGGAAGAAGCTAAACCCAAACTTGGTGTTATGAAGGCTGTAACCACGACGTTTACGGCAGATTCATAATGACTGGTCATATCTTCGTGGGACGCCCTAATCCTTAGGACAATGGCAACTAAACCAGTTATCTTTTTAGGATGCGTCCATATCACATACAAGTTCTAAATTACTAGAAGCGGATATTCGTGTCCTCATTTATGCAGGTGATGCGGACTATATCTGCAATTGGATGGGAAATGAGGCATGGGATAAGGCAATCAAATGGTCTGGTAAACGCGCATTCAATGCTGCCAAGGACGAGATGGATTACTGAAGACGTATCTAGGATGTGGGCTGGCACTGTCAGAAGTTCAGGATTATTAACTTGGCTTAGGGTCTTTGAGGCAGGTCATATGGTAGTAATCGTTGGATTCAGAAAGAAAGTTGTGTGCATAACCTACGTACACCTGTACCGATTTATTTATAGTTGATGAACCGCACGTAAGAGTCATTACGATTTAATTCGCTGTTCTCTTTAACTTTATATGATCCTCCTCTCAGTTCACGAACAACCATTCGTATCCGATTTACTCATGTCTCATCTATTGGTACCAGCCCTTCAACGCGCCAAATCTTTCTGGCATAATTCACTCTCCTCGGTTTTGTGCACCATCTTTTTGATAAATTAAAATGGTGTACAGACCCTCTATTTCTTTTACAACACTCGCATCACTTGTCCAGCAGTTGAGTGATAGAATATCTCCATGACGAATGCCGCATGGTTATAAACGAGCCTTGGACAAAGGATAAGGCGTGAAGGCAAGATTTACGTGAATTATACCGTTGAGTTCAGATGCTTTATTAGATGTACGTAACCAAGGTAAACCTTGTGAATTATTATTATAGCTTTGCACGTTGTTTGATCTTGGTATCGAGTTGAAATAAATACCAAGGCCTCTGCTGAGACTAGAACAAATTTCATGAGTATGTGTGTTGAATATCAAAATGTAAATTGAGAAAACGCACTCTATGCATTATGTAATCGCCAAGAAGTTTGTGCACAGACAGGCTTGTGAATATAAAAAAAGTCTCATTATCTTGCAGTCAGTCGCAGAATTGTATCTCATACAATTGTTGAGCTTTTCGTTTGGTAAGATAATGAGACTTTGCTCTGTAAAACGAAATTTAAATTGTGAATACGTTTTTTGTCAATCCAAGTAAGATCGTCATCAATTTAGAAAATGGGACCGAAAATGTCATTCTTATCAACAGAATAATTGTATGCAAGCAGAATCTGATGAATCAGATAAGCAAGTTGCATGGTAAATCATCCTCTGCGGCAGCCAACATTAATTAATTGCGTTACTAAAACTTAGTATTGATAAATTACCAATGGTTAGACTTTCCGCAAATTCAGTCACGCAGGTTATAGTTAGCCAAAAGTTAATTAGATATTTCGTTTTTTAAATAGACTTCAAAAAATCAGACACGGTTGAAATATATATAAGCAGCAGCCATATCATATTATTAAAGCAACATGCTTAATGTTCATGTTGAATTTGGAATAATAAATTGGAAGCTTTCACAATTTCTATGTAAAAAAAAATTATAAAAAAATAAACCACTCTCTTTGAATCACACAATATTTTTTTTATTTTCTATCATCGTTAGATATAATAACTACCGTTTGGAGCTGGTGTTCTAGTTATTATTTAGTAGAGATAATAGTAAGTTTGTAATTAATTATTGTTATTGAAACGATATTATTCTTTAATTAATGTCGAATAGTAATAGGCAAGTGACACTCCTCATTTAGTCAAAACACCAAGTCGAAGTTTTGCAATATTGCATTGTTTAAATTTAATAGTAATAGATCGCGAAATTTTCTTTTACTGCAGTATTAGTGTAATTATGGTTTTTATCTTATCAGTCAGGGAAAATGTCATACAGACTGCGCCCCAATAGTGACGCTCTCAATAACACAAAATACTTCACATTCCCACAAGCTTGTATATCATCAGTTTTGTACGTTATGTAAACTTATTTGTAAAGCTTGCCTCTACGTAAGTGCAATAAGACTATGGCTTCAAAAACCTGTTCTCTGTTCTTTGTAGACATGACTTTTCTTCTCTGCATCATATCCATTTACTTTCATGCATCTGACCGCATTCAGGACTCACGAGAAAATGCGGCTTAAAGTTTCAGTACAAACATCAGACTTAATACATGAATTAATGAAAGAGCTACGTAATATTAGGTAACAAAAAGACATCGATCATAAGACAGTTATTGTAGACAACATTGTTCATCGTATGGTTGAGCAGGGGTATCAATATCTGTATTTACTTTCGTAGGACCTAGTTTATTGGCTCGCTCCATAACCACATTGCTAGCCCGTCGTCCTACAGTTGAGCATTCCTCTGATTGTTTAACATCTTACCGAGATATTGTCAAAGATTCGTTCTTTCTCTATTAATATTTGATAACAACTAAATTATTGAAAATTGAATCTGTGTTCTGTATTGTATTTCTAACAAGAATAAAGTAATTTTGAATTGAAGAGGCGAAGCCTCTTACCCATTTATAACTCTAAGTAATTTTTATATTTTCTAATATTCTGTCCGGAAAAGGCAGTTAATGGTAAACATGCATGACTTTATTTCAGTGTCTTGTTAACTCATCCATATTTATATTGACATATGTGGAAGTACATCGTATAATCCGAACCTCTGAATAAAATTCTATAATAATAAACAGAAATAACCCGTAATACAAATTTATTCAAAAAGAGTTTGAGTTGCTAAATTATAAGAAATGGAAGTGTTAATATTGTAATATTGTAATTGATTTTATTTGTACCAACATCTAACCGTACCTGCAGCTGAATCCAAATTATGGTTATTTCTTGGTATAGGCAATTCTCCTGTAGTAGTAGGTAAGAGTGTGCTGGAATATTTACTCTCTT